CCCCCCCCCCCCCCCCCCTCCTCCATGGTAAGTCGATAGAGATGTGGAGAGTGTCGAACATGTGTGCAGAGTGCTATCAGAATATGAGAAGTGTTAAAATGCGTTTAGCTTTAAATTCTCTTAATAAATATGCAATTCCTAATGGCTAGAGTCCAAAATCCCAATTTTGTTATAACCTCTCAATTGGCCTCTCGCCAAAGCTCTATCTACTTGGACTCCATCAAGTGACAGTGGGAAAGATTTGCAGGCTTTAGGATATTCATCATTAGTCCCTTAGTTGACATCGGCTTTCACAAGAAGGGAGGGGGGGAATATGTATTTAGGCTTTAGGACGGTTAGTAGTAGTTCATTAGTTATCTTCTGAACTTCTGTCGGTGTCTTTAGGGTTGGACATCGAATCAGGCAGGTCTTCTCCATTTCCTCCTGTAGGTCACATAGGGGGCACGTTGGCTGAGCGTATACTCCTAATCTGTGGAGGTGCTTATCCAGTCAATCATGCTCGGTACGTAGTCTAAACTCAGCAATGGCTTCGATTCTTGGCCAATCGGCTATGTCGGAGAGTGCCACTGTCCATTGTTTCACCTTTGTTCGAGCTTTAAGCTCGTTGCACCTTGAGGTTTTGACAAAATAAATAGAGTTAAATAGGATCATATATGAGTTAATTGATTGGCTGCTGTGGGTTAGCCAACAATAGCAACAAGGCCTTCTTCCACAACTGGTGTTTATGTAGTCAGGTGGTGGGGGTGGGCGGAATCCAATCGAATCGCGATAATCGAATGACATGTGAGGTGGAGATTGGGAGATTAGATATCCTAGCACAACTATCGTGATTTGTCGAAATAAGCGAAGCCATTCTCACGATTTCTAACGCTGTTGATCAATTGCTTCATTGCCACTTTAATTTATCACTTTACCACCTATACCTCTCCCAAAGTGTTCCCTCTTATCATTTTTTGCAATGTTAGCCAATTTTCGTGATCAAATTTCTGCACTTCTAAGGCTCTCCTTCTCAAGGACTTGAAAAGTCTCCGTCAATCAGTTTATGAATTTTAAGCGCGCTTTTCTCTCGCGCGATATCGGGTTGTTGTGTCTGGGTGGATTTGGGATTATTACCGACCTAATGCAACCACTCTAATACCTGTCTAACTTAATTAACCATTGAGGAGCGCGGTGGTTGCTTTTCGATCGAAATTTACGCACATATCTATGTATCCGTGACCTCACGACAACTATACGTTTGTAATTAATTAAACGCGTTTGTCTCTTTTTCTTGTCACAAATTTTTCAGTCTTGGTGAAAGGCGTGGGTCGACTGTGGAAGCATACAATGAAATTCTGGATGAGGCAGAAGTGAAGGTGTTGAATCAAGTGCTTGAGGTCTCAACATTCAACGAATTCCCCGAACCCCTTGTCAGTTCGAAATGATTTTTTTCTGTGATGATTTTCTCCATTTCCTATTCGTGGCTGTGACTTTGACTCATCCTATTTCTCCGCCCCGTCCACCCCGCCCCGCCCCGCCCCCCTTCTCTCCCACTTATTTCCNTCCCCTTCCCCCCCCCCCCCTCCAGTGCTCCCACATGTCCCTGTTGTTCCGCCGGCGTAATATTTGATAGGTGATTGGTAAAAAGATTGCTACAAATCCAACACTCGACTTGAATTTTCAACCACCAGCCTGCGAATTAAACATTTACCGATAAAATTAGTTCTCTGTTGACACGATGCTTTAGGTAGAAATCTTGAAAACTTCTCAATTGGGACATTAGGTGTATCGGTTACTGTTCTTTTAGTCTTCAACTCAGTTCTTCCATCCATTCTAATTATCATTGTGAATCCCCAAATCTCAATTTCATTTGTGCATAAAGTGAGCGTTTTTCATAAAAATGGGAAAATGTGATGTTCGACGAATTACGAGTTATCTGCATTCTTCTTGCAGGTCTGCATTGGTCGTTGTAACTGAGGTGATCACTAGGATAGGAGCAAATAGATTATTTCACGATTGGATCGGGCTGATAGAAATTTATCGACAATTAATGGTGGGTATATCCGTTAATGCTAGCCCATAAGGGCCAATGAGAGAAATTGCCCAAACTTGTCTCCTATTTTGTGAAGTGAATATGACTCAAATTCCCCCAATTAAATATTAATAATAATAATAACAATATTCCTCTTAGGGTTACCTCGCCGCCAGCAAATCTATTGAACGAGAAGGTGAACGTGTGAGTTAGGTGATTGAGATTGGAGTTGAGCAGAAGGGAGGATAGAGTTGAAGGAGGATCTGAGGGTGTGGAAATGCGAGGGTCGGTCCTGATTGGAATGAGGGCGTGCGTGGGTCATAGACCGATTTCGCGTTATTTGTGGGTTGAAAATTTGGCATGAGGTAGGAGCCAGCCAATGGGCTTATGGGTTAAATTGCGCTGGGGTTACAGAGTCCTTACGATAATGCTGTTGCCTACTTTCAATGAACTGTCAACCAACTCTAACCAATACGCTGATACCTGCTGTGGTAAATTTATTTATAATGGAAGGGCTCCATCTTTTCATTTCTTTCCTGGGAACTTCCAATCTCACTTGCGAGCTAAAGTGGGGATCAATTAGCTGATCTTGGGATTATTTTCCCTCGAGCTGTTTCCATTTCTATAATCTTGTGACTAATGATTCCCCTGTCAGGTAGCCTCTAATCGAATATTTTTCATGTAATCAAGAACAAAAATCACAGATGGTCTCTCTCACTCTCTCTTGCGATGTATGGGGCTATCGAATTGATATGATATGTAGTGTTCCACCTGTAGGGTCCATTGCTGCAAGTGCTAGTTAAGCAGGCTCGCAAATCGTTTATGGCCCGTCCATTCACAGGATGCAATTCTCACTTCTTTTTCCACCCATTGATTCTGACTGGGAAAGACATGAGAGGTAAAAACCTCCTTCTTGGTTAAGGAAAAGTGAGTAGAGAGGGGGAGAGAGGGGAAGGGAACAGTGATGGAGTCCAATAGCACAACCAGATGGAGACCTAAACATCAAACACATCAAATGAAATACTTTTCTTATTATGGAAACATTGAAGGGAACGCCTCGCCGTGTAAAGCCTTGAGTTCAAACCGTGATTTGTGCGTGAGGGTATTCTGCGTTAGTGATTGTTGACAAATTAATTTTATTGCCACCAACAACAATTTTAATGGGGCTTTAGAACTCACTGGAGTAATTTAAAGATTACATTCCACTCTAACTTTTAAGTTGCCTTTCAAAATGTATGCGTGTGTGTGTGTGTGTGTGGTGGGGGGTGGGGGGGGGGGGGGGGGGGAG